AGCCCCCCTCCCTCCCTCGTGCCCCCCCATGCCCCTTCCCCTCAACAGACTTACTGGCTGGACGCTGCTCTCCAAGCTGCTGGGCTGCACTCCTGGCCGCATGCATGCTGCAGCTGTGCGCATACACATGGCATTTATCAGTGACATTATCAGCCAATAAAAGCCAATTGCCACCCGTCAATTATGAGGATATGGACCAGGGTATTAGTGCACTTCTAGTTCTCAGATAAAATACAAGTGCTGATTCATGAGAAGGAATCTGGGTGAAAGGAAGTCTAATGCAGAGTGGGGGTTTTTCCCCTCAGAATTAACAGCTTTTATGTAGTGTTTAAAATTTGCACTGATTTTTTTGGGAGGTCCTTTGCAGGTTTAGGTTTATTAACCACCTGTGAAAATGAGGTACATGGAGTCCCAACAAACAGTTGTGTGGTACCAGTGTTCCAGTGATTTACTGTTTCTTTTGTTTTAAAGGTTACTGCTTCACCAGTCAGCTTTGTGCAACTGCTGACAAGCTCCTACTGATTGTGGAAGCAGCACAGTTTGGATGTAAAACCCTCAGCAAACAGCTTTGTGGCTTGTCCTTAATTTGGCAAATTAAGTAGGTTGCAAATTGTTTTATTACAAACAGTCTGTGCTTTACTATGTTGGAGACATAACTTTGCACTACTACTAACTAACATTATTTTCCTTAGGGTTTTGAGATGTCTAAAAAGAAACCCAAAAAATCTAGCCGGGAGGATGGTTTGGATGACTTGGACAACAAAGTAAGAAAAGTAGTGTATTTTGTGAAAATATCATATCTTAATAGCATTTAAATTTTGCAGGTTGTTTCACAGGAGAATGAACTGGAGATTGAAATGAGAGATTATTTTCCATTTTTGGTTTGCTAGAAATGATCCAAGACAGAGTAATGGTTCTGGGAGCTTTGTTGTGAGCTTGGGCTGAGGCTTTGTTTGTGTGGCATACTTGACCAGTGAAATACTTCATTGTTGCAGACGTATACGCTAATGGAAGTTGACCCAGCATTAGGGACCCTGGTGTAGATGGGACACAGGCTGCCTCAAGCCTTATAAGCTACAACAGGGTTGTCTAACTTGTAAGATATGCTTTCGCTCCCTTGATGCACTCTGGTAGGCATCCCCCACCATGTGCCCTGCCCCCGCAACACTTTGCTGTGCCATGCAGGCTTGCTTCCTCTCTTCTCCCTAGCCCTGCAGGCCACATTGACCCATGCTCTGGCAGTAGCTGGAGTAATTAGAGTACTGTGGGCCTCAGCTTACCTCCTCATGGGCCGCATGCAGGCTGTGAGTTGGACAGCCCTGAGCTACAGCATAGATCGGATTAGTTTTGTCCAGAATTGTGTCACTGTTCTTGAAACGCAATATTGGGCAGCCTCTTCTGCTACAGCTGCTGGAAGAGCTGAACTGAAATTAAATAAACTAACAGCGCTTTACTATAAATTCAATGCATTCCTGTGCTGAGCCCCATGCATGTCCAGAAGAGGCTGCATCTTAGTTGGACCCAGCTTGCTCGATATCTGTATAGATTTGTGTGCTTTAGTGGGGCTTTTTTGCTGCTTTTAACTAATAGCTGATTGACTCAGCTTTAGATAAAAGTGCCAAAAAGCACTGCTGATGCACCTAATCTATAGAGTTGCTGCAGAGCTTGGTCAAAGTAATGTGCTGCTGCTTCTGGTAAAGCGCTTTTATTTATTTATTTATTTATTTTGCAAACAGGTATTTTGCAAAATGTTTGCAAACAGCCTATGTGTATAACAAGTGCCAGGGTTTGGCTGGGATGCCCCTGGTGGCCACACAGCTCCTCCTCTGCTTTGGCTCAAGGGCACCCTTCATATTCTCTCACTTGCCATGCCTTTTTTGGAATTTTATAGAATGTGAAAGGGGAGGCTGCCAAAGGTTCTAGATCAAGCCCCTGCTTCACTGCCAGCAGCTCCCTCCTGGATCCCACTGGTCCCAGTCCTACACCTGTACTAGGTGGGCCCTCTTGGCTTGTTTGTGCCTCCAGGGCACCTGTTGTCTTACAGGTTGTTTGTGGCTTCTGATCTCCCCTGAAGCCATGTCCATGCCTTGCAGATGTTAGCATTCAGTCACTCTCCCTGTTCGGGCTTTGGCCTTCATAATCTTTTCTCTTGCTGGACCCTCTAGCCCAGGCCCACTACTTGACCTGGCTTCTACGTTCCAGCCTTTGTCTCACCTACTTTGGCACTGCACCCCCACCACCACCCCCTCTCCCCCCCGGACTCTTCCACTGCCCTCCTTGGGCACTACTGGGACTTCCTCTGTCCTTCCCATTGACTGGAATGATACTCCCATTTCAGTCCACTAGTATAAACTGTAATGTAGGAATAAGCCCTCTGGTTATAACACAGATTCAGTACTGGGTCTGAACATAAAACATCAGTTACTTGGCTGTACCACACACTACACTCTACCCTGAGTCCGATTCCCCTGTACGCAAGCAGTATTCTACTCGCATTTTCCCAAGGTAGCCCACGTGTCAGTCAGTCAAGAACTCTTCTATAGCCTGTCTGCTCAGGAGCTCTTTTCTCTGCACCTTGCCTGACCAGACTGCCTGTCCTGGCTTAGGCCGTAGGCAGATATGTTCCCTAAGCCCCTGTACTTTTCTGGTCAGGTGACTTCTGCAGCCACCCACACGTTCTGGGCTTGATGGAACAGCCAGTCTGCCTTTCCTCCTGCGGCTAACCCCTTCTTAACTGCCTGAGGTCCATTTGCTGCACTCTCTCTCAAAGTAACAGGAGTCCTAAACTCCCTGTTGCAGTGTGGCCATATCTTGTACATGTGGCCGTAATATCTAGGGGTGCACCGATAGAGATTTTGGGGCCTGATATAGATAGCTGATATTTAAGGAGACATATCGTCCGATAGCAATCTGATTTCAGATACAGCTGCCTCCAGCTGGAAAGTCTGGTGTGGTGGAGGGAGAGCGGGGAGGGAAGGGGCATGGGGGAGACAATGGCCCCCACAGTGAGGGAGGGGGCAGAGGCAGGTGCTGTCCAGGGAGAGGGGGCCAAGCCACGACTTGGGGGAGTGCGTGGCTCCTGCTGCTGCTTGCACCCTGGGAGGGCTTGGGGTAGGTGGGGGATGTGTGCCCCCTGGATTGGGGCGGGGTGGGCTGCAGCTGGGTTTGCGCAGGGCTGGGCCCGGAATGGGTGCTGGCAGCACTGGGATGATGCTGTATCCATCCCATATTTCACCACCACTCTGCTCCCAGCGCTGCCGCCACCAGCTGCCCGGCGCATCCCCGGCTTAGTGCCCTGCTTCCACCAACATGCCAGTAAGAGTCGTGGCTGGTTGTGGTGGCGCTGGGAGGGGAGCAGTGGCAAAATTTGGGGTGGATGCAGCATCCTCCCAGTGCTGCCGGCGCCTGTCCCAAGCCCAGCCCCTGCCAAGAAGAGCCCTTGCTGCAGCCTGCTCCACCCTGCCCTGCGCAGATCCAGGGGGCACATGCCTCCTC